CCACGCATTACCAACTTCAACATTTAGACCAAGGTTCTATCAATGCCTTCGGCTATCTTACCAGGATTTTCAGTTAAATCCGTTCTATGGCTCACACCCCAGGGAAAATCAGACCATAGCTATATTCAAATTTAATATTCACAGGAAGCACCCATGAGGATTATAGTGATCACGGGACAGTTAGCTAATACAAGGCCCTCAAAAATTTTCTAAAAGCCCAAAAAAGTTTTCTTCATGGTATGTTTCTAAAACACTGGGTAACTAGGATGACAGAGGGAGAGGTAAGGATGAGAACATCCATTGGAACCATATAAACATAGTATCGTGTGTATTTCTAGTCTTAAGGAGAGGAAATGTGCTCAGAAACATAAGACACACACTTGGACAGGACACAAACGCCTAACAAATAAAAATTATTTCCTGGGGAGATCGTGTGGAATCTGTATTTGGAAGAAGGAAAGCACCTGATTTTGCTAGGATGGAAGGGGAAAAAAACACTTTTTTAAACCAGGGAAAAATAAAGGACCAAAGATGTATACAGCCAGCAGGGATACTGAGAAAAGTTACCAAGTAGGTTAACATCGGAGTGTGCTGGTGTTATGATCACGGGGATTTCTAACAAGCGGTAATAGGGCACTTCTGAAAATTCAGCAAAATTACAGTGGGTCTACTCTGATTCCTATAAGGAAAACACTGTACTCAAACAGTTTTTTTTTAAATTTTCCCTTTATCCTAAGAGCTCCTTGAGAAGAGAACCTATTCATTTTAGTGGTAGGCCCTGCAGATTTATTTCCTTTTGTCCGGGTGTCATTTATTTTGAGATTGAGATCTTGAGTGATAGGCTGTTCTGCCTCTGGAAATTAATATCTTTAGCTACAGAACGATCATTAGAAAAAAAAAAAAAAAGATGTGAACTTTGCGTGCTTTTCCTGAGCATAACACAGGAGTGTTTAGGCCATAATCAATTTCATCCCAAATACATATTACCTTACACAGACAGCCACTAATGGGCACTGTGGGAATTACATAGTCGGCGAGCGTTGAAACGCGATGAAATTCCCATGGCATTTATGGAATTAAAAAAAAACAAAAACAAAAAAACTGAACGCTAATTTTACTTTCAAAATGTCACCATGCCAGCAGTTATGAAGGTTTTAGGTTGATTATTCTTAGATATACTACAGATTTAGTTATCACTGAAAAATCATGAAATAATATTTATTAGCCTAGTAAAGC